AAGAGAAAGGAAATGGATAAACTTACAAAAGAATTTTCTAACTAGAATAGTTCGTTACAAAAAATTAGTCATCAATTTATTGTAGCTAAATCTATTTTACGTTGCGTATTTGTCTTTCTGTGAGGTTTCTGTCCTTCTTTGAAGTCGGTTAAAAAATGGAATGCTAACCTCACACCCAACTTTAAGACCGAATAGTTCTGAGTAGCTTATTTGATTCCTTTCGAAAAGTTCTAAAGCTCCTGATAAATAAAAAATTGCAAAACCTTAGAATAGTTTTTAAAAATCATCTTCAAAACGCAATATTCACGGGAATAAATACTTGACAGACGGTTCGTCCTGGCCATCTTTGGATTTGTACAGCTTGAATATAACATAAGCCATAACATAAGAACAAAAAGGAATATAAACTTCAAAGGAAACTTATTAAACATATTAGACATGGTCTAAAAAAAAAGCCGTTCGGAATCGGCGTTATAAACTGTAGGTGTAATTTTGACACCATCAGTTTATACAGACCTTATGCAGACCTTCGAAGTCGAATACTTTCTTAAAATTCCCATCAAAACGCCTGCAACTCTACCACTAACTAATATCGATGCGGCCACTAGTTAAGAAGATATTCGAAGATGCAACGGAATGAAATTCGACTAAGCCCCGTTTCACACGTATTTGACACTACTGACGCCGGGTATCCGATCGCGAAGTGTATTAATATGAAAGCATTTACAGGTTTGTCCGATAGACGGTTGTGAAAATAAAGAAAATCGATCGGATACCCGCGACATCGGTAGTCCGGTATCCGGTGCCGGATGCCTACGTGTGAAACGAGTCTAAATCTTTCTGTCCGTAAACGGTACGGGCACGGCACGGTTATGTCTAAATCGATCTTAACCCTTAAATGCCACACCTCTCAAGAATCTCGTAAGTTCACTGAGGGGTCTAAAAGACCCCAGCATGAAAAATGTCTCCTTACTCATTGATTTTTTTATCTTTAGTTATGACAATTTTTTTCAATGTTGTTCAAGGTCTAGAGAAGAGCATGAAATGCTAATATTGTTCAAATTTCAATTTCGACATAGTATAAAAAATTAAGTAAACGAGTACTGCTAAGTGTACACACGGGTAGGTCAATCACTCAACTATCATCAATGGGAGCATGAGCTCCATTTTTTGCAAGAACATTTGAAAACATTTCATTCTAAAAGGTCTGGGGTCCGCTGGACCCCACTGGTCATTTAAGGGTTAAATCGGAGATATATTCACGGAGGGTTCGTTATATAAGTAATATTGATATATAAATCTCGCAGCATCGATATATTCGCGTATAATCGACTAAAGATGCAACGACAAAATTATCGTAAACAATATCAACGAGTAAAACGCAATTTAATGCATTAAGTACAGACATTCATGGCGTATTAAAAAGTTGAAGAAAGTTATGTGCAACGTACGTAACTTTCTTTTATTTAAAAAAGAAATGTATAATTTTATGAAATAATGAAATATTCTTCTTCTATGCGGCTAATTCACTGCAAATCCAAGTGTTATTTTAACTAAAGCTCTTCTTACACATTTCTTGTCGTTTTGAATAATGAAACTTAACACGGTTGAACACATTAATACGATTAAACGTGTTGATTTAACACGCAACAAAACATGTAAAACGAGCTTCAGTCAAACGTGTCATTTTTTAAACGTATATGCGTGTAGAAATAACACACTTGGATTTACAGTGTCTGATAAAACGGCTTGCAATTACAATTAATCACAAAGTATTCTATACATATAATCATTAGTCTATATACTCTATATAAATAAAAAATGGTATAGTTACTATAACTGTCCCTACGCATTAAATATCAAAAGATAAAATTTAAACCAATACCTTGAGTTAAATAACATTTTGTTCTTTTTAATTACCATGTGTCAAAATTTATTATTTTAACACAAATAATGTTATTTTAACTCCATTGACTAGTTAAATTAATAATTAAATTAACATTGTTTTAGTTAAATTAACCCTTTAGAGGCTAGGTTATAACATAATCTTAAAAGACGTTCCTGACAAATTTTTTTACTCTTTTTTTGTTTTTTCTTAGTATTGTTTTCTTGTTTTCTTTTTTTATTTGTCTTTTGTTATTTTGTAGTTTTGTGTTTTTTTTTTGTTTTTTTCTGGTTTTTTTTCCATGTACATAATTATGTACACAAGCCCCTAAAGGGTTAACGACATATTAAATAGCAAAGATGGTCTTACTTTGCGTGGCCCTAATACCAGAAGCGAGTTCACGTCGGCGAAACTGGAAACGATCAGTTAAATTACGTGATTGGAGGCACTGTTGACCGTGTACCAAACCCGTGGCCGACCGACCAATCGCTCGCCGATCCGCGTTAAGTACCCGATCGCGTATACACGTATTCGTTCTCTCAGACCTACTATCGGTTATCACGCTGGCCACGGCGGCCTCGCTCCCGTCCGCGTTGCTAACAGCGGCAAGACTACTATCTTTTGTAAATCGTGGCAGAAAGGAAAACTACGGTGGTGCGAGCACTGTCGTTTTGTATCGAAGGAGTCAGGCTGTCTTAAGCCATTGATTCTCTGCACGAGTCTCTTTGGGCCTAGAGTCAGAGTCAGTTACAGGTCTGGTAATGCGAATATATAGCCTCTCCCAGTCAAGTCATGAGGTGCGACACCTCCCAATGATCTCGCTGAACCGCTGCAATGGGGCTGTTCCGATTCAGCACGGCTCGGTCGCAAGATCTGATATCGGCTGGCCAGCGTGTTCTGCAGTAACCAAGTAGCGTCAATGGCGATCTGACTGCGCCTCTAAGAGCCTGTAGTGATACGAGCCCAAGTACCGCTGGTGAGTTGCGGAGCCAAAGAAAGGCACGGTTATCTGGGAAGCTCTCGGCTGTCAATCCGTTTGCTCCACAACACGCAGTAAATATGAAGAAGTTAAGAATGAATCTTCACGCCCGGGTTCTCAGATGATCCGGGCACTGCACGCACGATGCGAGATTGATGACTCGGTTAGTGCGGAAACACCCAGTAACTCCGTAGCTGGCTCCTCGAAAGTAGGCGCTAGTTATCGGGTATAGAAACGATTACGCCTCTTGACGCACGGGACTCATGCCACGAGTAGCCGTGGCCCCCAATAGCCTTCTTCTTTCTTCTTCTTCTTTGTAAATTTTATGACACCTAATCCTCCTCAAGATCACATAACGGCCAAGAACAAGTCGAATATAATAAATACAGACTCGAAAGATTCAATCCAAACTCGGCGTTGATTGCATCAGCAATCTTCAAAAATTATTCAGAAATAAATAGTAATTAGTTATTTCGTGAATGGATATCCATATGTGTCAAACGCAGTGCACGGGTACTGCGTTTCAAGCATGCCCAGCGCCGGGGATCGACTCGCAACGGTGGCGGGATTCGCGTCCGCTTCTCCCACGTTGCAAGGCCGGCCAACTTCGACTCCCCGGCTAAAGTAAAAGATAATCGCATGCTTTAATGGGCTTGGAACCCTTAAGGGAGGGTCGTTCGGCTGATTCGATTCGGAGTTGTAGATCAATGAGACTCATTCGTCGGGACTGGAATCCAATTGAGCCTGATGATCGATCGAATGATGCTTTCGCTTGAACCGTGACTGACCCATCTCGCGAAAACTTCCCCTTCGCGAATGGATTGTTATTGATCTTCAACTTCGTGATGTTCTCGTTTTGGTATGCCGTCACCGCGATAAATTCCGTCTCCTTGAAAGCGAACAACGCGGTTGAATGAGTAAAGAGCTCGTTTTAGTTCTTCGCATCGAAGCAACGGACTATTCAGATCCTAAAAACGTACTTGTGCATCGATGTTAATACCACGGTATTATTGGGATCGTTGATGTTGTTCGTGAGCTTCAATTTATTGAAGCTGATCGAATTGTCCATCCAGTGGCTGGATCCCGTTGCCGGACTCTCGGGATGCTTATAAATCCTATAGCCGAAGGGCTGTTGCGGCTCTGCCGGCCCCGCAAAACTCCAGCCACCCATATTGCTGTTCTCGCCCCCGTTCTGGTATCCACAGTACTTGTGGCAGCGATCGGAGGCCGGTGCTATCTCCATGAGGACATAATAATTCTCACGTTTCTTCAAACCGTTTACGTTTATTTGAACGGACGGAAATATGCGCCGACTGCTCTTGGTAATTAGCATTTCTGTATTATTCTCGGAGAATTGCTGCCAGAGGTTTCAATTAAGCAGCTCCACGTTGACTCCGCGCAGCAATGGGGGTTGAAATACCCATTCGCTTAAATTCATCCTCTCACCTAATTTGCGTTGTAGAGCGATCGGTGACTGCGCGAAGAGTGGCGATGCCAGTTGCATATTCAGTTCCAGGAGCATC